TTAAATTTATAAATTTAAGAATTAAAAATATATATTAATAAAATCAAACAAATTAACTATTAAAATAACTTAAAAAAATACATTTCATAAAATTAAGAAAAAAAAAACACAACATAATTAAAAAATAAAAATTATACAAAATCTTAAAATTAAAGAACCGAAATTGAAAGTTAACCATCATCCAGACCTACTACCAGCGCCGTGGCCCAGTGTTGATCAAGTCGTGACTCGTGATACATCAGGAATGCGTGTGGGGTCGGACACTAAGCGACAAAATTTAATGGCCGGCAAAATTTTTATTAGTATCTTGAAAGAAAATTGTTTTTTCTTTTTTCTTTTTTTTTTTTTTTGGGTACATCTGTACGAAAGAGACATATTTCATTTTTCAACACCAAAGAAATATTTTTGCAAAATTCTATATCAAATTCAAGTGCCACTAATCATTTGTAAAATCACAAGAAAATTCACACTAGACAAGCGCACTCATTAACAGAATAGGAAACATATAAATATACATCAGGTATAGATATAATAGAAATAAGAAACATATCACTAGAGCTTCCATCTTTAAACATGTAAGCAACTGCTAAAGTAGAGCGAGCAAATAAGAAAATAATCCTATAAAGCAGTTGTCAACTGCACACTTTACTTTATTTCCATCTGACATTCCCCATAGTCATACAAGCAAATACAGTTTTTTTTCTTTTCTTTTCTTTTCTTTAAGTGGGCTACAAATACAGTTTTTTGTTAGCATCTAAGAAAAAATCAGCGGAACCCAGGAGAAATAATCAAAACTTGGATAATACAGGGTCATAAGTTGGTTACATGAAGCTTTGAACTGAAAGCATCTCTCTGCCCTTTATTTGTTACTGTGACAACCTTGTATGTATTTAAGCAGCAACCTTTTTGGATGTTATAGAGTTGACAATGGTAGCAAACTCAGGGCCCTGTGGAATGAAAGATCATGGCGAAAATCATAAGTAACATGAAAGATATTGAAATAATTCTAAGTTGTCTTTAATCTCTATGATTGAAATAATTCTAAGTTGTCTCTGCTGGCCATGACAATTCGAAACAGATATAAACAAGGGAATCTACCTTCAAGGAAGCACCTCCGACAAGGAAACCGTCAATATCTTCTTGCTTCGCAAGCTCAGCGCAATTGCTTCCATTTACTGACCCTGCAAAATGAAATTTAGATACCATTAGGTTTACAAAAATAATTTTTGACATTCAAACACTCTTACGTTGTCACAAGACACACATCTAGTGATTGAATTCAAAATCTGATGTTAATTTATCATTTGTGGTTGGAGCAACCATTTTTCGTAAATTGACAACATTAATGGAATTACTTCTTACAATTATTAAGAGCTTGAACCACCATTTATAAAACAAGCAGCAAATAGTCTTTTTCAGCTTTCATGCACTGATACTACTACCTAGCCATGCATTAACCTGTATCTCAAAATGAGTAATTCAACTTGGCACGATATTTTATAAGCAAGCACATTCAGCATTCTGTGATTTGCACGTGATGCTCGCATAACCAAGGTGCCTCTTAGAAATGTAGGCTATGGTGTTGCAAACTAGAAGGACTCTTAGCAGATTATGATCACAGAAGTTCTCTCTTCATATAAGAAATTAGAGATATTTATTTCCCAACATAGCCCTTGAAATGCAATACTAAAGTGTCTAAAACAAACTGTTAAACATTACATACCTCCATAAATGATGCGTGTTTTAGATGCAACTTCTTCAGAAACATTCTTTTTAAGCCAATCACGAACAGCTACATGAACTTCTTGAGCTTGCAGAGGTGTAGCTACTTTTCCAGTCCCAATAGCCCATACAGGCTCATAAGCAATAACTATATTGTCCCAGCTGGGTACAGCATCTGCACACAATGATTTTTTTGGGATTAGAACATTGTCCCCTTCCACAGATTCCTTGAAAAAGACAAGAAAACAAATGAAAATGACATCAAGAAAGTTTACCTGCGAAAGCCTTCAGCTGCCGGTAACAGACCTCAAAAGTTTTTCCAGCTTCTCTTTCTTGTAACAGCTCCCCAATGCAAGCTATTACACCAAGACCCTCACTCAAAGCATAAGCAGCTTTCTTTCCTATAAACTGATGTTCATAAATTTTCAGTCAAGTCCTAAATACATTGTGATTACATAAATAGCACAGGTAGTTGTTCTCTTTGACACTCGGAATGACCAAACTCCCTAAATTTTTACCTGATCATCTTCACCTATAATATGTCTACGTTCAGAATGCCCAAGAATAACCCACTTACAGCCAATATCTTTCAACTGTTCAACACTACAAAATGAATAACATGAACATTATTAAAGACAAATAATATGATAAAACCTATAAGTGAACAAAAGTAAAAGTGAACAAACAGCTTCCACCATGAGAAGAAAACAAAGAAAAGATGTCCTAAAACCAACCAAGTAGGTTGAAAGAAAATATACCCATAAAATATGATTTGGATTAGGAAGGAGTTTGCAGGTCCTCTTGAGTATAGAAATCATGCAATTTAACCATGAGAAGAAAATATTTTTGATTCTTTGAACCCACATACAGAGTTGCCCAAGACACTAAAAAATACTGATATTTCTCCAACAAAGAAGATTCTACATTTGGAACAATGAGACAGATGAGACATATGCATTGAGACTCTACATTAGATGCAGAAAAAACTTCAAATAAATATACTCTGCAGCATGTGAGCAGAACAGAAGAGAACACAATGTGCCTTCTACCACAATTTCAACCAACAACAATATTGTTCATACTTATTAGACAAGGAAACCTATCAAAATCACATCAAAGATTGCAGAATAGAAACAACTATTGTGTTCTGCTAACTGAGGACCACTTAACTAACCTGATTTCTCCGGTGAAAGCTCCACCTTTTTGAACCCAAGAGTTCTGAGCAGATATGTCAATTCTATCTGTTAATGAATTCTTCACCTGATCAATGTAGACAAAGGGAGGAGCCACCACAACATCTGTCCAAGACACCAGAACGACATTATGAACAAACTTCATACTGTCTTTTTTTTTTTTTTTTTTTCCTTTTTTTGAAATACACCAATATCTGAGAGAACTTCATGAATACAAAATTTGTTAGCTCAATTAACTGCATTTAACATTAGACAACATGCTAATAAAATCTTTATCATACCGGCATCAGGCTCCAACGCTGCACTGTTCAAGTCAGAAACAAGCTTAGTAATAGAGTCCTTTGTCCCATTCTGAAAAAACCAAAAGTAGCAAAATCAATTACTAAAGAGTCTCAAACACCAAAGATATCACGCAAATAATGCAGAGACAACATTTGACACAAACCATCAATGAACAAAGGTAAGAAATTAAAAGGGAGATAACAACAGATTAAATTACAAAACTTTTGAATGAAGATACTTACACATTTCCAATTGCCCCCAACAAAGAACTGCAAGCAGAAGATAGAACAAACTAATCAGCCAATTAACACAAATTGTGACACTTGTAACTATTCAGGTTACCTCTTAACCTTACTTATCCAATTTTCAAACTAAGAATCTTTAAAGCAGTAAACTTTGGATTAATTTACTGGAAAAGAAGTGCTCATAAATAAATATCATGTTAAAAGAAGAAAGAAAACAGAATGGCTTGCGCATTAGATCAAAATTTTTTCGATACCTTTCCGGTGCAGGCCATGGCGATGACGGTTCTCGAAGCTTTGCGAGAAGAGGAGAACCGAATGCTGGAGTTGGTATGTGGAATGAACGACTGAGATTGAAAGCTGTCCAGTTTCAGACATGATCGGCGGAGGCCTGTGAACTGCGAGCAAGATGTCGAGACCATTGCCATGGCAAACGGAAGGCTTTAGAGCTTCTTCCGTACTACGTGCCGGTTCGGTGAAGGAGGGTGGAGCTTTAGAAGTTGTGGTGTGAGCTTGGGTTTCTTTATCGGAGGGTCGCTAAGCAAAGGAACGGCGGGTTCACGCGGTTCCGGACCATGGGGATGCACACTCTTCAAATAAATAAGGCATAAATACAAAAAAAAAAAAAAAAAAAAAGTTGTCTTACAAAATTCTAATATTTATGGATTTTGGTTTGTGTTTTTGGCAAGAAGGTTTTTTCTCTCTACCTTGCACCCTTTTTTTTTTTTCACTGAAGTAACTCTTTTATTTTTAATATTTTAGTTTTAGCTTTGATGAGGTTAATTTTTCATTTTTGCTAGATTTTTTTTTAATGTAAGTATAAAATTAGATAATAAAGTAATTTTTTTAAAAATAAATTTATTTTTATCTATTTTTTATAAGGAGAATTTAGGGCTTTGCCGGAACAGAAAATCACAAAAATTTCACGCAAAACGTAAATTTCAGTTTCCACCAGTAACCTAAAACTCGAAAATCTATCATCATTCCTTTTGCTGGATACACCTGTACGATAGTCCTGGGTTCGGCATCAATAAAAGTATCATCCATACAAGTACAAATTGTAAAATATACCCACATGGGGACAATAATGTATGTCGGCCATGGTTAAGGCCATACCAAAACAGTATAGTTGT